GCGGAGAGGGCGAGGGTGAGTGTGGGTGGTGAGGGCCACATGCAGAGAGGGCCTTGTCCTGAGGCTCTGCAGCTCACAGGGCACCTGTGGCCCACAGCCAGGCTCTGCTTCACAGTGACTGGGGTAGAGCAGCTGGTGGACTCCCCACACCCAGGAGGGACAGGTGATGGACAGCTGGGTGTGCACAGCCTGGGACCCATCATGGCGCCTGGCACCCGTGTGTCAGGGTGCTGTCCTCTGCCTCACTAGGACTAGGTGACAGTGTAAGTGTGAAAATACAGCTGGAATGGCCAGCTGTTGTCTGATGGAGAGATGCTGACATTCCTAGTGATGTTGATGATCAAGCACCCTCACATGAGAAAGACAACAGCATACAAGACATCAGTACTTTTTCAGGCCCTTTAAAATGTATTAATATCTCAAGTCATATGTCTACTTTATATAAGATCAAATATTATACTCAGAAAAGCAGGCTTAAGCAATCAAATATAGTGTGTCTGCAAATGAGGGGCATCATGTTTAGTAAAGTGATCCTGCATCTACCTGGGGCTGGAAGGAGCTGAGTGAGACCCCCAGGGCAAGTTCTAAAGTGTCCTGAGGAAAAGGAGACAGAAACCAAACCATTGGGGAAAATTAACCCCTCAGAAAATGCCATCCGAATCAGAAGCAATAGGTTTTTTGTGAATTAAGACACCAACATTTGTACAGTGTACAATTATTAGGTATTTATAAGGACATCATAGCCATACAACAAAGGAAACTCATTGTATATAATCAATCGAGGAGATGATGACAGGTAGGGAAATTTAAGATATACAAGATACAGAGGAAATATTGTTCTGCTAGAAAATTATGTATGCATCTATAATTACATCAAAACAAACCACAAAATTTTACTTTTATCATGCACAAATAAAATAATAAAAATAAAAACATGAAATTATTAATGATAGAAATAGAAGTGACAAGCTTTGTTACAAAATTTAGTACTATGGATTTTAGGCACTTCCAAATTTCATATCTAAAATCAGTGCCTAGCTCTCAACCAGCACATATTTTTAAAATACTCTCAGTGATTTAATATTCTGAGATGAACCAGAAGTACCTTAGACCACCTGTATATAAACACTGCCACTGCTCATCCTCACCCAGGCTGGAGCTGGACTCAGGACGGTGGGCACTGACGTGAGCAGGGACAAAGCCCAGGTGTCCCTCTCTGTGACCCTGCAATGCAACCACAGTGGCTGGAAACCCAGGCAGGCTCCATGCTGCCTCCCCAGATGCCAGGTGTCCTGGGGCTTCTCAGACTTGGAGGCAACCCACAGCAAGATGGGGTCACAATGTCCCTGGACACAGTGTGTCTTCAGGTTCCTGAGGCCAGTGGCAGAGCAGACCTGCAGCTCCCACAGTCCATGCTTTATCCTGGGTCTTTGCCAAGGGATCCCTCTTCTCCCCAATATCTCACTCAGCTCACCCCTGTGCACAGGCCATGCACACATGCAAGAGGAGTGGGTACCTCTGACTTTGGGGGCCTGGCTATGGGGTGTGATGTCACAGAACTCATGGTGATGGAGACAGCTCATACGCAACAAGAACTCTGATGGTACATTTCTTTTTTTAAAATTTTTTATTTGTTTTAATTAGTTATACATGACAGTAGAATACACTTATATACTTTGATGTATCATACATAGGTGGAATATAATTTCTCACTTTTCTGAGTATACATATTGTAGAATCACATTGGTCATACAGTCACATACAAACATAAGGTAATAATGTGTGTTTCATTCTACTATCTTTATCCCCACATCCCATGTCTTCCCCTCCTTTCACATCAAACACAGATATGTGGCTCCTTCACTGTGAGTACAGCAAATAAGGAGAAGGAATCAGAGAGTATTTAAATTCCTCAGCCTTATTGGGATAGTCATTAAGGCTCAGGACTTAAGGTCAATATTCAGAAATATGTTAAGCACAACAAGAATTTGAATCTAGACTAGGAAAACAGAATATTATTTACTGAACATATAATTGTGAAAAAATTAAGACAGAATGCTGGAAGAATTGCTGAGTTTTATAGGGAAACTACAATACATAAAGCAATCCCACCCAGGACACTTCTCTATCTTCTCCTGGGGCTGAGATGTGAGGCTGGTGGTCCTGAGCTTCCCCTGCTGATCCCAAATGTCTCTGCTGGTCCTCACTCTATGTGCTGAGCCTGAGCTCCCTCCTGACCCTAAGGGGCTCTGGTGGTCTTGATCCCACTGCAGGTCTTGAGCTCCCCCTGCTGGTCCTCAGCTCCCTGCTGGTCCTCAGCTCCCTGCTGGTCCTCAGCTCCCCCTGCTGTCCTCAGCTCCCTGATGGTCCTCAGCGCCCCCTGCTGGTCCTCAGCCCCCTGCTGGTCCTCAGGTCCCCCTGCTGGTCCTCAGCTCCCTGCTGCTCCTCAGCTCCCCCTGCTGGTCCTCAGCTCCCCCTGCTGGTCCTCAGTGCCCCCTGCAGGTCCTCAGCGCCCCCTGCAGGCAGGTGAGTGACTGGGCTCACACTGAGTTCCCTCACTGGGTGTCTCCCACTGGAATACACAGCCATATCCTCAGGTTTCACCCTGTTGAGTGCTTATGAAACTTGGCTCTTGGAAGTGTCCCTGGTGAATCTGACTATCTACCAGGCAGGTCCCAACCCCTGCAGCTGCAGTAGGCCAAGGACACCTGGAGGAAGGGACCAGCATGTGCTCAACTCCATCAAGGAGCACTGAGGACCAGCAGGGACATTCCACGTGTGGAATGGGACCTGCTTCCACCACCATCCATCCTTCTAACCCAATCCAGGCCCCTCCCTGAAGCCTGGTGGGTCCAGCTCACACCATGGCTGGGTAGAGAGAATCAGAGTCAGCACAGGTGAGGGACAGGGTGGGCAGGGGCTTCACCAGGCCTGGCCCCAACTTCTGGACCTACACCTTGGTGGGCACATGAGGGGAAGAGCAGCCTCACTTTCAGTAAATCACACCAGAACTGCATGCCCACACCCTGCTCCTGAAATCCCTGGACATTCACACAGGGTGCTGTCCCCAGGCCGAGGAGCAGTGTCAGGACCTCAATGCTACAATGAAGGCCCCATGAGGAGGAGACAGGGCTGCTCAGTCAGGGCTGCACTTTCAGCCTGAGACTGAAGACGAGGATAAAGTGGGGAGCACAGGGCAGAACCCCGCCCTTCCTAGATAGGTGTTTGTCTCCTGCTGCTCAGAGGCACTGGGGGCTGGGGTGGGGGGAACTGGGGGCTCCTTCCTGCTGGTCCTCCTCCTGCCAGCCATCCAGGAATGGGGAGGCCCAGTGGTCAGGGGTGGCAGCACCACACAGAGGGGGTGTTCCCTGCAGGGGTGCACAGCCATGCAGAGGGAGGACACAGGGGGTGGCCTCCTGAGGGCCTTTGCTCTGCTCTGTCAGCGACACAGGAAGGTTCTAGATGGGTGGTGTGGTGTGCTTGTGGGGCTCTTGCAGATGCTGGGGACAGCATGGTCAAGGGACAGCTCACATCCTTGTTCCCCCATGGTCAGTGGGTCACTGTATTCTGCAGCACTCCTGCTTAAACCCCTAATGATAGGATGTAGGGAAAAAGGCACACTCATACATTGCTGGTGGGACTGCAAATTGGTGCAGCCAATATGGAAAGAAGTATGGAGATTCCTTGGAAATCTTGGGATGGGACCACCATTTGACCCAGCTATCCCTCTCCTTGGTATATACCCAAAGGACGTAAAATCAGCATACTACAGGGACACAGACACATCAATGTTTATAGCAGCACAATTCACAATAGCTAAACTGTGGAACAAGCCTAAATGCCCTTCAGTGGATGAATGGATTAAAAAATGTGGCATATATACACAATGGAATATTACTCAGCAATAAAACAGAAAAAAAATCATGGCATTTGCAGGTAAATGGATGCAGTTGAAGAATATAATGCTAAGTGAAGTCAGCCAATCCCCAAAAAACAAATGGTGAATGTTTTCTCTGGTGTGAGGTGACTGACTCATAGTAGGGTAGGGAGAGGGAGCATGGGAGGAACAGATAAACTCTAGATAGGGCAGAGAGGTGGGAGGGGAAGAGAGGGGGCAGGGGATTAGCTATGATGGAGGAATGTGATGGACATCATTATACAAAGTATATGTATGAAGACATGAATTGGTTGAGCATATATTATACACAACCAGAGATAGGAAAAATTGTGTTCTATGTGTGTAATAAGAATAGTGATGCATTCCACTGTCATGTATTTAAAAAATTAAAGCAATTAAAGAGATAAACTCCTCGAGGTGAAGCTGCTCACACCCCTGGGATTCCTGAGATTCTCAAGTTCTCAGAGGATGTCTGAGACCTGCCTGTGTCTGTGCCTGCACAGCTGCACCACAGGGACTCTGGGCCTGGGGTCACCTCCTACCTTTCTCTCCCCCAGTCTCTCTACCTCTCTCCCCCAGAGCACATAACACAACAGGAGTTACTTAATGTCATCATCTGGTCAGTCAGGGGTAGGGTGGAAATCAGGGATTTTAGACTCTTCTAAGAGTGGCCAGGGGAGAGCTGGCTCTGCTGAGGTGGCCAGTGCAGAAGGGGAGCACTGAGCAAGACTTTGGGCCCACACAGAGACCCCTGTGGTGGCTGCCATTAGAGCACCAGCAGGGAGAGAGTCTGAGGTCATCAGCTGTGGTGCAGGACCTGGCCTGGGCTCCTGAGGCTGCAGAACCCCCTGTGGATGGTGAAGGGCTGTTGGCACAGAGAAGAGGCTGAGGAGGCTCCATCTGGGCAGAGGGCACCACAGGAGGAGAGCTAAGTGAGAACCCTCAGCACCCCATGCTGTGCCCTGGGGAGCAATACTTAAAAGAGGAGGATGGGGTCACAGCCTTGAGCAGCTACAGAACCACCTGTGGGAGAGGCCTGGAGAGCAGGGAGGTGGGAAGGACTTTCAGCCAGCTCAAGTGTGTTCAGGGACCAGGGACTCACCAGAGGGCAGCCTCCAGGGAGCACTGAGAGTGCAGGGGCCTCTCACAGGGTAAAGGCACCAGGAATGGAGAGCACGTGGGCAGCTGCTCACCATCAGTCCAGCCTTTCACACTCCAGATAGATCCCACTGGACAGGACACCCAGGTGTAGTGAATGTGGAAAGTCTTCAGCAGAAATGCCAATCACATTGCACACCTAAGCGTTCACACTGGAGGCCAGCCTTTCCCATGCAGTGAATGTGGGGAGGGTTTCAGGCAAATCCCACACCTGCCCAGCACCACAGGCTCCATGGTGGAGAGAGGCCTGTGAGTGCAGTGATGTGGGAAACCCCTCAGCCAGCACTGACCTTCATCCAGCAGCAGAGTCCACATGAGAGAAACGTCCAGATGCTTCATATCTGGGAAGTCCTTCACCACACCCACCACCTTTTCACAACCTGGAGAGGACGGGAGCTCACAGGCATTGAGAGAGCAGTGAGTGTGGAGAAGACTCTAACCACTGCTCTGCTCTGACTCAGCTGCACAAACGTCACAGCCTGAACAGGCCCTGGGAGGTCAGTGAATGGACAGAGGCCTCAGCCAGTGGGGCCCCCTGTTCCACACCAGGACGTTCATGCTGCAGAGAGGCCCTAGGTGGGACCTGACTCAACTGTCAAATTCTGAGTCACCTTCATGGTGGAGCCAGGACTGGCCCTCAGTCCTGCACACGGCACAGAGACCACAGGGAGGAACTGCTGCTGCCCTCCTCCTCCCAAGAAGGTGGCCCTGTGCCTGGGCTCCAGGAGGGGAAGCCCATGTCCTGGGACACACTAGGGACATCTCCATCCAGGGGAGCTGGAGTCAGGCAGGAGCCCAGTGGTCATGGTTAAGGAAGACTGACTCTTGCTCTTCACACTGAATGTAAGATTTCCCTAAATAAGTATTTCATTTGCTACAAAAATTTTTCTTCTACGAAATTATAACATGTAATCAGGACTGAAAATCAGTGATTAAGGCAAAATTAGGTGATAATTAAAGTAAAGCAGAAAACCCATCTGGGGTTGGGAAGGGGGACAGGAGACATAGCATGGACAGTCCCTCCCTGCAGGTGATGGCCACTGTTGAAGGTCAGGACTGCTGGGAACCCAGGGAGCCTCTTCAACCTTAGCCAGCAGAGCAGGCACAAGAACACCCAGAGCCAAGCATGACCCTGGCCTGCCGCAGTCTGGTTGGGCACAAAATCAGGAGCCACTCACAGCCTTGTAGATTCAAACAGCAATTCTTTATTCCCGAACTCACACCAGCACTCTACACACAGGTTCTGGGGAAATCCACACCTCCACTGGGCTCTGTATCCCAAAATACTCTCTGAATCCCAGGAGATATCAACTGGAACTCAAGGAGTGGGCGCGCCTGAGGCAGCAGGATACGCCCTATTCCCAGCAGGGTACATCTTAAACCTGGAACCGCCCTAAACCCAAGGAGCTGGATACTCCCTATTCCAAGCAGGATACACCCTAAACCTGGATCCACCCTGGTCCTTGAGCAAGGTCATCTTTCATGCAAAGTCACTGCAAATGATCTGAGTCCACAATGGAGAGTCCTTCCTCTAATCAACATGGGGTAGGCTGACAAAGAAATTGCCATGCATCATTCCTACTTGGCAATGGCTCTTAGCATCTCCCCCCTTCTGATTAATTAAACAACAAGCAATGTGGCTTAAGGACCGTGCCTGGTAGGTTGTCCAATTCAACTTATGGTTCTTACCCATCATGGGAAAAACTGACCTCTAGGCTTCAGCCTCCTGTCTTAGGTTGATACAACTGCAATTGGATCATACCCGTCACTGACTACCGGTCCAGCATACAGCCATACTTGTCGATAGGCCTATGCACCAGTGGGGGGGGTGAGGTTCTTGCCTCACCTCTGTTGGCCCCCAAATTTGGCCTTGGTGACAGTGGGGGGATGAGGTTCTTTGCCTCACCTCTGTTGGCCCCCAAATTTTAGACCATCACTAGCAGAAGGGAGGAGGATACAGAAATGCCACGACACCAAGCCAATTAACAGCTCCTTTGGAAAAATTGTATCACCGGTGACACCATCAGCAAAGATATGCCAGCACTACCACAATTTGCTGCACCAAATGATAGTTCATAATGTATACAAGTGACACATAGTCCAGGCAAGTTCTACAAGCAGTTCAAAGCAGAGGAGTCTATCAATAAGTCCATTTCCTCCCAAAGTAAATCGAGTCCATGATTGAGCATTACTTGTTGAGTTATATTCATTGATGCATCAGTTTATACAGTTTACTGTGATAGCTATCAAAGAAGCTCTAGTTTGGCTTTATCTTTGTCTTCACCGGCACTGGGATGGAGATAGGAATTCTGGCAATGATGCTAAAAAGAAATTATGTAACATTACATTATCCTGAACAGAATTATTAAATATAATGAAAAGGAAAGGTGAAAGTAAACAAACAGATCTGTTAACTATCTTTAAAACAATCCTTAACAGCTGTTTACCAAATTTAAATTAAACGATTTAAATCACGTGGATAATAAAAAAAAATTCGGATCCATTTTTTCATGAGCGCTCCTCTTATATGAAATATGGACATATGCACAAACAGACATACAACACAAAACACAAGAGTGCACACAAAAGTACAACACATAAGACAAAAGTAAAGGCCTTGTAGCTTTACACAGGTGAAATCTCCATTGCAATGTTTAAAAACTCCACAGTCAAAAATAAAACTGATCAGAAAAACATTGACCTAGGTCTGTGTGAGCTCAAAAATAAAATAGAACTTTATGATGTGGAAAAATGCAATAATAAAATAGATATTGAAAAAAGCATCCTGGTTAATCACTGTCGCAGATGTAAGAATAGCCAAGCTGGAGCTCTGGATATCAGCTGTTATGGATTTGAGTCAAATCATCTTCTTTTTGGTCTGTAGAAATTGCTTTGGTTAGTCTCTCTGGAATCCAAATTGGCTGCTGTTCTCCCTGTGGAAACACACAAACAGAACCCCGACTCCAGACAATCACTGGGTCAGGACCTTTCCATTGTCCTGTTAGAATATCTTTCCAAAGTACCTTAGGCTTATGTACATTTTTTTGGATACATATGTCTTTCCGCAGCACTAAGCCCTGATGAATCCAAATTTAAAAAGTTTAGAGTAAAAAGCGTTATTTTAAGTTTATCTTTGGGGGATATATACCCCTTTCCAATTCCCTCTTTTTGTTTTAATAAGTACATTTTAATAGTTTGATGAGCTCTTTCAACTATGCCTTATCCCAGTGGATTGTATGGGATTTCTGTTAAGTAAAACATTAACTGATTTTTCCTCAGGGATGATGTTCCAAAATATCCTATATGTATCCTTTGGAAATTTAAAAATCCTTTTAAGTTCAAGTCTTCCAAAAGCATTTTGCCTTAGTTTTTAGAATTACTTTAGTTCTTTTAATTTTTTGATGTGGTTTTAAACCAATTTCCTTTTAGTTTAATGTTTTCTAAATTGGCTCTTGTCTATAAATTTTAACATCCTCATCTGAGACTTCTAATTTCTGCACCAGCAGAAATTAAAGTTGATGGGATTTTTGAAAAAAAAATTACTAATAATCTCCTTGTTCTTCTATTTTATCCAATATTTGCCTTTAAACTTCTCTCTTCTACCTATTTCTATCTTGAATGTCTGTATCTAATAATTGTCTTAGCTTTTTGTATTTTTTATCTGAAATACCTTTATTTGACATTTTTAACCATTTTTTTAATCTTGTTTCTATCTTCTAGTTTTCTTCTAAGGTTTGTACATTCACCCTTAGTTGCTTTTTTCCTCCTGGTTTTCTTTTGTTTCCTATTTTGTGGGTTTAAAATTCTTGTCTTCCTACATCTTTTCTATCTTCCTACATCTTTTCTATCTTTTTTTTCACCTTCCTGTACTTCTGTCTTCAAAGTTTTTCACTTCAAATTTCTAATATTCTTTCTCCAAATTGCTTTTATCCTATTATCTTCCCATTTTCATGGTTTTTTTAAGTAATGCTTTTAAGATTAACTAGGCTTTGAATGACGCAATCTTTCCTCCGTCATGAAGGCATCTTAACCACCTTCAATTTAACCTTTTAAAGCCTTTTGCAACTTACTTAGACATTTTACAACTTTTTACTTTACCACACAAAGATTATCTCATCTAGAAACATTTCTTTTTCTTTTAACCTTCCATATTAAAATATATTTCCACATCTTGAATCTTTTTATATCTCTTTTTTTCTTTTTTCCATCATGAAGGTATCTCAACCACCTTCAATTTAACCTTTTAAAGCCTTCCAATTATCATCTATACTGTACTTTTAAATGTACTTTTTCACCACCTACAGCTTCACTCTTTTAAACGAGGCTTATATTCTGTTTAAATTGCTTAATGCTAGTTTACATGGCTGCCCTTCAACTAAAGGCTTCTTTTTTTTTTACTCCATTAAGAAGCTTTGTCTCAATCTGCCATGTACAAATACCTTTTTCTTCTTTCTTCCTTTCTCAAGCTTTTAAAGTAAGTCTAGTTTCCTCAAAATCTTTTTAAATGGCATTTTACAACTTTTTACTTTACCACACAGAGATTATCTCATCTAGAAACATTTCTTTTTCTTTTAACCTTTCATATTAAAATATATTTTAACATCTTTAATCTTTTAATATCTCTTTTATAGCCATTAACCCTTTTAATAAATTCACATTCTGAAACAACTCTTATAAAATTTCTGATTTAGACAAATTACTCCACTTTAATAAGATTAAATACTTTCATGTTTTTTATGGTACTATAATATTATAATTGAAACCCAACTGAAACTTCTTATACTCTTTGTATATAAATTACACATGATAGAATCTTAACTGTTAGTATCCTTGTTTTAGCAAAGACACAGACACAAGCAATATTAAACCTTTTTTCCATTTACCAATTTATGAAAACACACATCCTGTTTAAATATATTACCTTATGGAACTTAATAAGTAAAGAGTACTTGATTTTATATTTAGTGGTTGATGTTTTAACACTTTAGCTTTGTAAATTAATCAGATCTTTGTAAAAACCAAGATCTTAGACAAATGTAGTAAACAGAACTAGCCCTCTCTTTCTTGTTGAAGAAAAATCCTTCTACAGGATACCATGATGGTCCCATTGATATACTTAATAACTCGTCTTTTAAAAGCCATGGGTTACATTTTTGTTTTGTATCAACATACGTCCTAACTGTTCTTGGTCTTACTAGGACACCTCCTTCTTCTAACAATTTCTCCTTCTCGGAGGCAAACAACTTCAAACCTTGAGTAAACCATTTTCCCCAGTTTGCCAGAGAAAGTTCTAGGAACAGGCAACTTGAAACAAAAACAAAATAAATCAAAACAAGAACACATTGTTTTTTGAAATGGTCACCCATTCTCTCGCCTTCCCTCAGGGGCAAGCAATTTCAATTACCTCCAAGCTTCAGACATGCCCCGTCCAGGCCACCAAATGCCGCAGTCTGGATGGGCACAAAATCACGAGCCACTCACAGCATTGTAGATTCAAAGAGCAATTATTTATTCCCGAACTCACACCAGCGCTCTACACACATGTTCTGGGGAAATCCACACCTCCACTAGGCTCAGTATCCCAAAATACTCTCTGAATCCTGGGAGAACTCAAGGGGAACTCAAGGAGAGGGTGCGCCTGAGGCAGCAGGATATGCCCTATTCCCAGCAGGGTACACCTTAAACCTGGAACCGCCCTAAACCCAAGGAGCTGGATACTCCCTATTCCAAGCAGGATACACCCTAAACCTGGATCCGCCCTGGTCCTTGAGCAAGGTCACCATTCATGCAAAGTCACTGCAAATGATCTGAATCCACAATGGAGAGTCCTTCCTCTAAGCAACATGGGGTAGGCTGACAAAGAAATTGCCATGCATCATTCCTACTTGGCAATGGCTCTCAGCACTGGCCACACTGGACATCACCTGGGGATGCTGAGGGATGGTCAGGTCTGTGTGTTCCTGCCAGCCCTGCTGGGTGGTCTGGGCCCACCTACTGCACTGGTGCAGGTGCAGGGCTCCTGGGCTTGCTGTGTGGAAAAGGAGAAGACCTGTGTCCTCCACTTGTCCACCTCTGGCTGCCCTGCCCACTTGCCAGGACGACCTTGCACAGTGGGTGTGAAGTGTGGCCATATGAGGGCCCCTCCTGCAGGAGTGCACAGTGAGCGTGTCCAGGCTGGGCTGCTGGGTGTCCATCCTGCTCTCCAGCACAAGGGACCTCTTGTGGGGGTCCCTGGAGCATGTCTGGATGGCCTGAGGTCTCAGGTGGCAATGGAGGAGACGCCCTAACTAATGGAGACAGACCTCACATGTGGAGTCTGATGGGTGCCCATCACCATGTCAGAACTACTCCTCTGCTCCTCCCATCTCTGGAGATCCCAGGAGGGAGGAGGGTTTTTCAGACATTATGCTGAATGAGTCTCCTCTTGGGTTTGTCTGATGCTGTCCTCATGGCGAGACTGAGGTGTGGGAGGGACTTCACAAGAGCCTCATTTCCATCTCATCAGGGAACATTCTAGAATGACCTTCACTGAGGAGATTTGCCCTGTCCTCTCCATCACCTGCTATGGAGGGGTGTGGCAGGACTCTGCACCTCTTGCTACTCTGCTCCCCTCTCTATGGAGCTCCCGAGAAGGAGGTTCCTAAGTGCAGGACCCATCAAGGGAGGGCAGTCAAGGAGAGTCTGTGGAAACTGCTTGTCATTCTCCTGGGCTGCAGAGGGGTGTCCACCCTGGTATTTGCTAAATCGTGTATTTAGGTCAGGGTGAGCTCCAGAGAGCTCATTTGTATCTTGGTGAAAATGCCTGTTGTGTTCTACACGTTGTGGTCAATTTTCAAGCTTTATTCTGTGGTCCACCTTCCAGCAAGGACTGCCATCTCTTCATGTATCCTACCTGTCCTGGTCAGGGTGCTGAGTCAACCAGGCCAGAGTACAATCTCCAGGAAGGTGACTGAGTATTGGTTGTTCTGTGTGCGCATGGCATCCCATGACCACAGAATGGCAGTGATCAAGAATACATGTAATAACAGGTGCTGGAGGAAACCTGGGGAGAGGACACTCACACCTTGTTGATGGCACAGCAGATGAGAACCACCCTGAGGAGAGCAAGGTGCACACACCTCAGAACAACAGGGATTAAGCCACAGTGGGACACAGCTCTCCTGCTGCTTGGTATTTACCCTAAAGACCCAAGTCAGCACAGTGCAGGGACACGGCCACTGCAGGGTTTATACAGTGCAATTCCCAAGACCAGGTTATGCAACCAGCCCAGGTGCCCTTCCCTAGTGGATGGATAAAGGAAATGTGGGTCATGTACCAACACTGCAGCTCTGCTCAGCCAATAGGAGGAGTGAGACGATGGTGAGTGGACGGAGCTGGAGGACATTAGGGAAGAGGAATGAGAGAGGCTTGGGGAGTCAGGGTGAGTGTTGGCTGTCCTCTGTGGGAGCTGCCACAAATAAGGGAGATAATGGAAGGGGAACCCCAAGAAGACAGAAGAGGTGAGTGGGGATCAGGAGGTGACTAAGGGTGAGGTAGGAGGGACAGGAGAAGGGAGGGGCCAGGAGTGAGCTGAGCAGATATTATTGGTCAATTCTGCACACCTGTGAGTCCTGCACCTGTGGGAGTGACCCACTATGAGTTACACACACACACACACACACACACACACACACACAAATAGTGTAAATTTAATGAAAATTAGAAAGTCGTGGAAGAAAAGTCAGTAGGTTAAATAATGGGAAGTAGGAGGAAAATGTAAAAGGAGGTGCTGTGAGAGCAAAAGAGATTTTATAGACAATGAATATATGTGACTATGTCAAAATGAAAACCTATAATAAATATATGTAAGGTGCACTATTTCAAAAAAAAAAAAAAAGAACATGACAAAAACAGAATAATTATCTTCAGACACATCAGAGATAAGTAGAGACCACAAGGCCACAGAGACCCCCTGGGAAGCTGGTACATGGACAGGCCACCAGATGGAGGAAACCTGCCCCAACTCACATCTGCAGCTGCTTCTGGGATGACCTGACTCCTGTGTGCTGAGCGCCCTCTGCTGGCCCTGGGTGAGCAGCAGAGAGGTTTGTGTCTGGGCTCACACTGAGGTCCCCTCACTGTGTCTCTGGCACAGTAATAGGTGGCCATGTCCTCTGTGGTCAGGGAGCTCAGCTGCAGGGAGAACTGGTTCTTGGACGTGTCTCTGGAGATGGACACTCGGCTCTTGAGGGATGGGCTGTAGTTAGTGCTACCATCATAACTTATGTACCTTATCCACTCCAGCCCCTTCCCTGGGGACTGACGGATCCAGCTCCAGTAGTTGTAACCACTGGTGATGGAGTTACCAGAGACAGCACAGGTCAGAGACAGGGTCTGCGATGGCTTCACCAGGCCAGGTCCTGACTCCTGCAGCTGCACCTGGCACAGGACACCTGGGGACAAAGACAGTCACACCCTGTCAGTCACCTGCAGCCACAACCTCCCCATGGACCCAGGTCTGACACTGGGAACACTCACCTTGGGGAGCTGTGACCAGGCACAGGACAAGACCCAGCAGCCTCATCTTCTAGACCACACCTGCCTTCCCAGAGACCTCAGCCCTGTCTGAGCAGAGAGCTGGGAGCTCCCACAGCCCAGAGGGCCTTTGAACCCAGAGCAGGGTGAGGGATTTGCATGTGGGTGAGGCTCTTCTGATATCTGGAGAGGCTGAAGTCAGGCTGCCCAGGTCCTCTGTGCTCCTGAGATGTGTCCCTGTCTTGAACCCAGGTGGAGCTTTACCTGTGAGAGGAGAGCAGGTGGTTTCAGGGGTGCTGGAAGGCTGTCAGAGGAGGAGCCCACCCTCCTGAGCCCAGCCCTGCCTCCTCCAAGCCCTTCCTCCCTGCTCCTGGGAGGGTCTCAGAGTGGCAGGAACGTGCCCAGCATGCAAGAGGCCCAGGTCCACCTCCCAGCCCTGAAGGAGAAGCCCTCAGTGATGACTGAACAGAGCCCAGGGCTGAGGATGGGGTTCCCCACATCCAGGAGAAGAGCCCCCTTTGTTCTCAGGATGAGTTCTTCTCTTTCATCTCTGTGAGATTTGGGGGCTACAGACTGAGCAGGAGAGGAGGGAGCAGGGTCTCAGGAGGGCAGGGGCTTCCTGCTGTGTGCCCACTGCCCTCCCCACCCTCTGCCCTGCTTGTCCTCCTGACTGTCCAGCCAATGCCTGTGGACAGCAGTGGGTGGGAATCTGCCCTGAGCTCTTTGCCTCACCTGTCCTGCCCTCTGGTCTCCACCAGGAGAGGACAGGATGGAGGTGCTGGGCCAGGGGAGAGTCCTGGGGGCAGAGGCAGCACTCAGCTGCAGCCTGAGGCTGAGAGCCCCTGAGTCCCCCAGAGCAGCAGGGCCAGGCTGACAGCAGACAGGATGGCATGCAGGGCAGGCTGGGTGAGGGAGGAGGCCCAGGTCCCTTCCCTGTGCAGCATCTCTGCAGTGAGACCTGCCTTGCCCACAGCCCAGCATTTGGAGAGAACAGTGGACACTGTCTTTAGTGAGGTGGGGTCACTGAAATGGCAGGTGTAGTTGCTGACCTCCTGATGATGTTCAGGAATTGACTTCCTGCCTAACTGAGTGAGCACAGCCCACTAATAAGACATGTGGGCTCCTCTCCTTGTTCCCTGTGGTGTTGACCATGAACTCCCTGCAAACACTGAGCCTGCAGCACCCACCTCCTGGTCCTGGGGTGGCTCAGGTAAGAACTGCTGGTCTCCATGTTTTCACCACCTGCAAATCCAGGTGAGCCACTGAGTGAAGTTCCAAGTCCTATCAAATAATCTGATTAGAAAGCTGTTCTTCCAGGTATCTAAGTAGGAGGCATCTTAAGATGACCCCCCTCCTGACCTGGGGATCCTGGAGCCCTCCACGTGACAGTCTTCCCCACCTCACCTGTGCCAGGTGTGGGGTCTTCAACACCTCACCTGTTCCAGGGCTTCAATTTGCTTTCACCATTCAGCACAAAGTTTTCATGAAAATCAGAGAAACGTAGTGGATGTATGATGTGGCATAAGAAAACCTCCTAAAAATATATCAATATTTTACATTGTTTTGTCACTTGACCAAAATTCTGACAACAGAGAAGAGGAAAATCTTCCTTTGGGTCATGACTTAGGAGGTTGTAGTGCAAGGTGGCAAGTCCTTAGCTCTGGCCAGGGAGGGAGAACTCCATGGCACAAGGGCGTGGAGGAGGAAACCAGCTCAGGACATGGCCACCAGGAAGCAGGTGAGCTACACAGAGTGTCCCCCAAAGGCACACCGCAGTGATCCAAGTATTCCATCCACCCCCACCTGCCTACAGTTGATGAAAGTCAATCCATGTTAGTGGATTAATCCACTTTAGATTTGAGCTCTGGTAATCTAGTCCTCTCTTCTCTGTCTCACACGTGAGCTTGTGGGCCACCTCATATATGAACCATGACAGCAAATTCCTGGTCCTGGTAATCCTTCCACCTGGTCAGTTTCCACGGGATTTAATCTCCTCATTTCATATTTACATAAATATCCCATTGAAATAACTGACTGTGTGAGAGGCTCATGTGCAGGTAGGGGCGAGGCGTGTCCAGGCTGTTGCTGTCCATCACCAGCACCATGTCTGCCAAGCCTGTGGTCTTCATGTGGAGTGTGCAGAATGCACCTCCTGTGTCCACACAGATGCAGGGCACAGAGAATGGGAAGACGTCACAGGCAGGACCATGTTGATGTGTTGGATGGGAGAAGAATTACCCAGGAACAGGTAGCCTGAGACTGGGAGCTTGCACATGAAACTGTGGGTCTCTGCGTGTTTGTGCAAAGTGGCCCAGATGTTCTGGGCCATCAATTAATCTTCTGCTATAAATGTCAATAATTGTAATGCCTTAATGATTTCAAATTACTCTTTGAGGATGTACATTGTATGTTCAGGGACCTTTATAAATTTAGAATTTAGGGACAGGAGACATGAAGATATTGCCCTCTGAAAATTCATTTGTGGATCAAGGAATTCAAGTTTACACAATCAACCAGTTAATCATTATTTTTTAAATTGATAAACATCTCTTGAAGGCCCAGAGGCATAACTGTGGAGGCCTTTTCAGGAAGTGTGTGACGTTTACAGAAAAATGAGAATCACAACTGGAAAAAATCCACTACCCAATCAGCAACTCCTTTCTCCTGAGTGTGCCCTGCTGGCCACAGGTGCCTCCTGAGGGAGGTGTCTGGCTCACACTGAGGTCCCCTGAGTGACTAGGCACAGTATGAGTTGGCCATGTCATTGGCTGCATTCTGCACTCCTCCTTGGGGGCACTGCAGTGTCCCTAGGGCCTCAGTCCTTTGAGGATGACCTTGTGGAGGCCTCTGCAGGGACTCCCTCCTGCAGGGCTCCTTTCCTGTCCTTGGGGTTTCTGTGTTTTCTGAGGACTGTGTCATGCTGCCATGCCCCACAGATCTTGGACTCTGGCCCTGTCACTGTGAGAAGCACATGGACACCATCTCTATGCATGCACTGGACCTCTGTAGGGGCAGCCACAGAGGCCCCCAGTGCCCCTGGACACACTGAGCCACAGCTGCTGTGACTACATAATAAAACTAGTCATCTGTGGCAAGTAAGAGCCAACACTATGGTCCTGTGGTAGGTGAGGGACTCCCATGGCAGTTGTTGGTGTCATGCACACTGTGTCCAGTCATACTGCCCTGTGAGGTGAACCTCCGAGTCTGCAGAAGAACCTCTCCAAGTCCTAAGCTCAGGACAGCAGGGGAAGCCTTGCCTGTGGCCAGGACCAAGGGGACAAGCCCTATGGCAGGGGAGCAGGCACACTGGCTGGGCTCACCTTGGTGCTATGAAGCACAGAGCTGGACAGGCCATGACCTGAGCACCCAGTGCCCACTGGGAGAACCAGGGCATCCATGTTCTCCCTCTCCTCTGAGTGGCCCAAGCTCCAGTGGGTTAGACATTAATTTCAGGGACCCATCCTCTGTATCTTGACATACACCTGAAAGTTCGCTGTCAGACTGAACCATCAAAAATTTATTGCTTTTATCTGAAAATCTGTGGACTTGTGCTTCAAATTTAAACCTGTAATCCAGTTACTTTCTAGATGTTTACAAAGGATGCTTTCTGTGTGTTTGCGTGTTCTTGAACCAAAACGTCCACACACTTAGCACATGTGAAATTTGCACTTTAGTTTACATGGCCAGGTCCCTGGGAGGCTGCCTTAGTGGATGAGGGAGCTGCAGAAGGCCCTGCTCTTCTCCCTGCCCATAGGCCTGGGTCAGTCTATGGCCACTGGTGCAGGACAGAGCACTGTGCACGGAAGGAGTGATCATCCTGCCCCACCACACAGAGCACACGAGTGACAGGCAGGACCTCTGCTGAAGCCACCCTCAGGTGGGGCCCCTTGTGCAGGTTCTGCCTCTGCCCCTGCCACACAAGGAGCTGTCAATCATCCTTCACCCCTGACAGGGGGCACCTGTGCTGCTGGAGCCACTGAGCCCACAGCCCTCAGCAAAGTTTGGGAACTTCTGGGAAACAGGCCCCAGCAGTGGTGGGGACAGAGCAGAGCCAGCCTGGGCTACACACCAGGCTCCACTGCACAGAACCATGTAGGGACCCCACCCAGGGTCCTGAGAAGCAGCTGGCTGGCTGCTCCCTTCAGCCTCCCTCCCCAGCTATGTGCTGGTCAGGGAGGAACTGTCCATCCACCTGCAGACACAGGATGCAGCTGGCCATAAGTCCACACTTGTACAAAGGAGGGAATAGACCTGGGCCCTCCCTGAGTGGCAGGGCATGCTGAGAGCAGGGCCAGCTGTAAGGGACACACACCTTTCCCAGGACCCCAGGTGGCATTGCACGAACCTGTAACCCCTAACAAGGTCCCCAGGGCAGCTGAGCAGGCCCTGAGCAGCCACTGCACAGAGTCCCCCTGGAGGTGCAAAGCCAGCCCTGGGTGCCGAGAGCATCTCATCCTTGTCCCCAGGTGCTGCCTGCCCTGTGCTGTCCTCTAATCTGACAGCCACCTCTGCACTCATGGGGCTTGCTGCACTGCTGACCTGGGCCTGCTGCAGGGCCACCCCAGGCAGCCCTTGGGGACAGACGGGCTGCACCTCTGCTGCTCTGCCAGCAGCCCCTCAGCTGTCCAGGCTGCCAGAGTGGCCCCAACACCATGCAGCCCCCAGGACTGTGATGCCCAGCTGCTCCAGGAACACCTTACCAAGGTGCTGTGAATGCACTCCTCAGGTGGAAAGAACAAGGAGCCCATGGGACTCTTCAGACACCATTTAAGAAAGAATTATTTATGTTATGGGTGACACAGAGGGGAGAGAATGAAAGACATAATACCTTCTCAACCAGGTGTTTCTGAGCCCTTAGAAATAGAAGTGGTCATGAGGCCACCTGTTTGTGTTTCCCCAATAACATGCAGGAGCAGATGCATGCATTTCCAGAACTGTGCACCCTGCCCAGCTGAGCCTAAGAGCAGCAGGCAGCCTGAACAGAGCAGGGACACACACACAGGTCACATCATGTGTCAAATCCCAGGAAACACAAGGCCAAGGGTAGACGGCTTCACCAGAGGAGCATATGAATTATTAAGGATAGAGAATGCCACATTAACTGAATTAGGTAGGGTTAGTTTTATACATGCAGATGTTATCCACTGGGACAGGCCAAATGGGGATGCTGTAATGGACCAGGGATTACCACTGTAGAAAGGCAAGCTTGGGGATCGAGTAACACATCAGATAGTATCCACTGGGGACAGGGCCAGAGTGTAGATAGGTTATGAGGCCAGATAGTATCCACTGTGGACAGGACCAGCGTGGAGAAGGAGTAAGTGTTCAGATAATATCCACTGGGTACAGGCCAGCATGGGGTAACAGGTCAGATGTCATCTACTGTGGACTTACCAGCACAGGGATGGAGGGACAGGTCAGATATTATCCACTGGGGACAGGGCATCAGGGTAATAGAGTAACAGTTAGATATTTTCCTCTGGGGACAGTCAAGTGTCAGATGGTGTGACAGCGCTGATATCATGCCCTGTGGACAGGTTTAGCATGCAGAGGCAGCAATATGTTATATATTATCCACTTGAGATAGAGTGAGCATGGGGGGGGGGGTCACAGGTCACACAGAATCCATTGGGATGAGAAAGCATGGGGATGGATGGAGGAACCTGTCAGATGTTGTCCTCTGGGGTCTGGGCCAACATAGGGTTGGAGGAACAGGTCAGATATTATCCACTGGGACAGATTCAACATGGGGATGGAGTAACCTGTAATGCAGGGATTGAGCAGTTTTCTAGGAATCCCCTGAACCATCCTAGCAGTGCCTGAGAGGTTATGCCCTTGTCCAGGGAAGGTCTGTGGACAACTCCCAGGGCTGGCATTTCCTGGGCCCAAGATCTCATGGGAAAACAAGGTCTTGAAGGATTTTTCCAGGAGAGAAGCAACACTGGCTCTTCATGAAGAAGATGAAATGGTCAACTTTCCAGCAGAAGCTCTGACGGGCTGCACCCTACAGGGGCTGGTGTAGATGAAGAAAGCTTGGAGTCTGTGCACAGTGGGTCTTCAGCCAGGAATACAATGGAATGACAGCATTTGCTGGGAAACAGGTTGAACTGGGACCATCAAGCTGATGAAGGAGGCCAGACGCAGAAGACCAGGGCCCATCTTCTCTCCCAATTGTGGAAGCTGGAGAAGAGGGAGAGGAGAGGAGGGTGATTTGGACAGAGAAGGAGATCAGTGGGTCCAGGAAGGGCCTGCAGGTGGGCAGAGGGGTAAAGGGAGGAAAGCAGAAGGGAACTCACCATCTATGCTGTGAGCTGATGTGAAGGAGCACATTGAACTCCACCTTCATGAACATCCATGAACCTCCAACTCAGACATGTGCAACACATAGAAGAAAGACCACAGAGCCCAGGAGGGGAGCAGGGAGGGAGAAGGGCAGGAAGGGGAAGGGCTGCCCACAGAAATGGGGGTCCTGATCCAGGTCTGAATCACTATGGAAACCAACTCCAGTGCTTTGTTTCCCTACAGTGCACCCACAGTTATAAATACCACAGGAGAGAGTCAGAGGACACAGCCACAGCTGTGGGGCCAGCAGCCCTGCTCCTGCTTCATGGGCCAGAGGTCATGGTGAGGGCCCGGGCCTCTTCCAAGTGCTGAGGATGACCAGGAAGGAGGGTGACCAGGAGGGAGGCAGACCCTCAAGGAGGCAGACACTTGTCAACATGGACAAGTGATGGGGTCCCTGCTGGCTCAGCTTGGGGGACCTGTTACCCTCTGTCCTTCTGATGTATTGACATGGAGGGGGCCATGTGTGCCCTATGCCTGGCCTCCACTTGAGTGTGGATGCAGGTAGGTCCTATTCACTTCCCTGGCAGTTGTACAAATAGCAACTTCAAATTTAATGAGAAGGATTGATTAGGAGGGAGACCATGGCCACAGGACCAAGGAGAGAACTTGACTCTGACCCTAAGGGCCCCTGGGGTCTGGAGTCCCCTAGACTGTGTCCTGATTGCCCTGGGGAGGGCTTCCACAGCAGAGTGCTCTTGGCTGTGCTGGTCATGGTGGTGGCTGTTTTCTAAACCAGAGCCCAGCAGGGCAGCAGTGGAGGACATCTGAGTCACCCTCTCAGCAGCTCCAGTCACAATCTGCATGTTGAGCCAACCTCCTGACCCTGTGGAGAAACCCACTGATCATGGTCCCCACCTTCTCATGTGTCCTTGAGTGCAGGGTGTCAATATTTTATTAAGGAGTCTCTCATCTCTGTTCACCAGTGATGTTGGTCTGAAGTCTTCTCTCTGGATGTCTCTATGTCTGGTTTTGGTATCCGGGTGTTACTGGCTTCACAGAACGATTTTTTTGGTGTTTCCTTCTTTTACATTTCATGGAACACCATGAGGAAGTTGGCCTCATCTCTTTGTTAAAGTCTCTTAGAATCAACTGCAAATCATTCTGCTTCTGGGCTCTCCTCTTGTGGAAGGTCTTTAATGGCTGTTCACCTTCATTGCTTCATGGTTTTCTGTTTTACATTTGTAGATTCTTGTGCTTCAATTTGTCTAGTTCACATGCATTTAGAATTTTGCCGATTTCTTCACGTTTTCCTAGTTTACTGGAGGATATTTTTAAAAATGTTTTCTAATTTCATGATTTCAGTAGCAATATCTTCTGTTTTACCTCTATTGATTGGATCTTCTTCTTTTTGTTTTGTTTAGTTTGTCAGGGGCTTTTCAATCTTCTTTAAATTTTCTAAAAAACATCTCTTAGTTTATTAGAAAGTTTGTTTTGTGTCCATTGTCCCTAAAACCTCTAACCAGAGCCATCAGGCAAGACAAAGAAATTAAACTGTTACAAAGAAAGAAAGAAGTCTCAATATGCTGCTTGCTGGTGATGTGATCCAATATCTAGGAGAACCAAAATCTCCACCAGAAGGCTTCTAGCTCTGATAAGCAACTATAGCAATAGAGCTAAATACATCATGCACAGATAAATAATCCACTTTCCTGTATTCCAAAATGAGTCATCTGAAAAAAATAAATCAAGTAAATGGTCTCATTCTAAATGCCCTTTAAAAAAACTTGGGGAAAAATTCAACTGGGGAGGTGAAAGATCTCTACAATGGAAATACTGAATAACTCCAGGAGACTTTGAATAACTTAGAGATGGAAAGGCCCCCCATGTTCTGCTATCATCAGAATCAATAATATCAAGAAAGTATTTGCACATCCCTCATTACCTCAAATGCCACACAGATTCAGTGAAATCACCAACAAATACCATCAGCCTTTTTAAAAGAACCAGACAAGTGTGCTAGTATTTGTGTGGAGAAGTCACAACACACAGTAGGCAAAGTGATTAAGCAGGAAAAGTGAACCTGGAGATATGACAACATGTGACCTCTAATTACTTGACAGAGCTGCAGTAACTGAACCAGCATGGCACTGTCACCAAAGCAGACATGGAGACCAAGGGGACAGAGTAGGAGGTACAGAGACAGACCAACCTAAGTGCACTTATCTGGTGTTTGACAGAGTTTCCAAAATCATGTTGCAGAAATGACAGGCTTTTCAAGAGAGAGTGCTGGGAAAACTGAATATCAATATGTAAAAGAATATAATAGGCCACTATCCCTCACCCTGTAAAATGTCAAGTTAAAGTTGATCAGATATTGACTAATTAGACTGGACACTCTGAAAGGGCTAGAATCAAATATTGCACCAAACTCGTCTGTACTGACACAGACACTGACTTCCTCAACCAGGTTCCTAAAGTGCAAGGGTCAAAACCAGGAATCAGTAAGTGGGACAGAACACATACCACAGGTGACAGCAGCCCAGACAGCTGGCCCTGCACTGAACCCACACACAGACCAGAGGGGGACTAGAGGTCAGGGTTGGCCCACACATGCAGTCCACCGGGTTTTGACCAAAATCCCACAAGCACTTATTGGGAGAAGGTGAATTCTTTACTGAACAGATCTGGGAAAACTGGATGACCACAGGCAGGAGGAGGAACTGGATCCTGACTCTCACCAGTGCAGACTTCAGCTCCAAATCAGTGATGGCCTCACAGACAGCTCCTGAGATGAGACAGCCCTGGAAGGAGACCTGGAAGACACTGCATGGAGCTCATACAGGGGAGAGTTTGGGTCAGAACCTGAAATCAAAGGCCATAGAGTCAAAGTGGACACTGGGATTCACCAAGGAGCAGGGTTCCCCACAGCAAAGGAAGCTACAGAGGAGGAGAACAGCCACACAGTAGCAGAAAAGGCATCTGGAAGCCTGTTCCCCCAACAAGTATTAGTTATGCTGATTAAGTGGGAAAAACCAGCAACTCAGTAGCCAAAGATGACCCAGAGCAAGTACCCGACAGTTGGCAGCTATTGGACAAGTGACCTGCATATGCATTCCTCAATGAGCACAGACATGAACAGAGAGAATTCATTAAACTACTTGAGGGCTGGGGAGATAGCTCAGTTGGTAGAGTGTGTGCCTTGCATGCAAAGGGCCCTGGGTTCAATCCCCAGCACCAAATAAATACTTGATACCACGAATTCATAAAAATGCTGACAAACCCACAGGGAGATTCCAACTCTCCCTGGTGGAAAGGCTCCCTGTCCAGGGCAGCAGATGGCAGATGCTCCCAGGGTAGGGCAGGGAGCTCGGGTTGACTGCTGGGAATGAACACTCCACAGCTGCATGGAGAACACTGTGCAGCTTCCTCAAAAATGAAATCAGGACTTCCCATGATGTAGCCACCCAGGAAATGAATAATTATCCATAGGAGAGAATCTGTATGTCAATAAAGTATTTGCACACCCTTGAATATTGAAGAACCTTTCACAATCAACCAATAAGACCATCAGGGATAGCTAGATGAAGAACATGTATTGTTCATAGACTAAGAAATAGTATAAAGCCCCAAACAGTGGCAAGCTCTCTCTCCTGGCACTGAGCATGGCCCTGGAGCACATGGACCTAGTGGGAATGGGTCAGGCAGAGGGAGGCCATCACCACACCATCCCTCATGTGGGGAAGCTACTGCATCAGGTCCAAAGAGAGAGGACAGTGGCTCCTGGAGATGTGAAGGTGCAGGGAGGGCAGCCGTGAGGGTGGGTGGTGAGGGCCACATGCAGAGAGGGCCATGTCCTGGGGCTCTGCAGCTCACAGGGCACCTGTGGCCCACAGCCAGGCTGTGCTTCACAGTGACTGGGGCAGAGCAGCTGGTGGGTTCCCCACACCCAGGAGGGACAGGTGATGGACAGCTGGGTGTGCACAGCCTGGGACCCATCATGGTGCCTGGCACCCCTGTGTCAGTGTGCTGTCCTCTGCCTCACTAGAGCTAGGTTTCAGTGTAAGTGTGAAAATACAGCTGGAATGGCCAGCTGTTGTCTGATGGAGAGAGATGCTGACATTCTTAGTGATGTTGGTGATCAAACACCCTCACATGAGAAAGATCACAACATACAACACCTCATTGCTTATTCATGAATTTAAAAATATATTCAAATATCAAATCCATAAGTCTAGTTTATGTATCTAAGTGAATATATTATACTCATAAAAACAGGCTTAAGCAATCAAATACAGAATCTTTGCTATTGAGGGGTGTTTTGTATGTTAAAAGTGCTCCTAGCAACTACCAGGACTCAGGGAGAAGCCTAGTGATCCCCCAGAGCAAGTCCCAAGAGACAGAAACCTCACCACTGTGGAAAGTCTCTCTTACTTAAAATGCAATATTATTTTTGTTTGCTAAGAAACAAAAAAGTGTAGAATTATGATTATAGTGAGTTAATTGTAAGGCTACAAAGGACTTAAAAACAAAGGCAAATCATTGCATTTATATTTTGTGTAAAGAAAGATAATGAATTGAAAGGAGTAAGCCCCATACAGAAATGTCAGACACACAGAATACACAGAAGCATTTCCTCTTCACCATCTGTTTATCCTCTATCAACGTGTGATAATGAAGCACCCATTTTTCTATGATTATGATGCTCAAATAAAATATTAAAAGTGATTAAAACTTGGATTTATTATTAATAAAAACATAAGAGGCTTATGGTGATACAGAATATAAAACTTTAACTTAGCAAATTATAAATGTTTTACATAAAATCAGTGCTGTAGCTTCAAACCATAATTTGAAAATACATAAAGTGATTCTATTTCATGGCATGTTCCAGGACAGGCTTAGGACAATCAGGGATGTAAACATTGATGATGCTCATCCTCACCCAGAGTGGAGCTGGGCTCTAGGACAGGGTGGGCACTGACCTGAGCAGGAACGGCATCCAGGGTGTCCCTGTCTGTGATCCTGCAATGCTGCTACAGTGGCTGGAAACCCACTTCCCTGGGGGCTGACGGATCCAGCTCCAGCAGTAACCAGGCTCCAGGTTGCCTCCCCCCAGCAGCCAGGTGTCCTGGGGATTCTCAGGCACAGGGTCAGCTCCCAACCCTGTTGGGGTCAGAGTGGTCCTGGTCACAGCATGTCTCAGGGTCCTGAGGTCAGTGCAGAGCCAACCTGCAGCTGCCACAGTCCATGCACAGCTGACCACCCTCCTGGGAGTCTGTGCCAAGGGAGCCCCTTTCCCTCCAAGACCTTCCTCAGGTCACCCCTGTGCACAGGCCACACAGCTGCATGAGGAGGGGGCACCTCTGCCCTTTGGGACTATGGGTTTTGGTGTCACAGAGTCTCATCATGAGGTTAGAGCTCACATACACCAAAGTTCACTCTGAATACACAAGTTCTGTGCATTTAGACCAGGTTCAGGGCTTCCTGTCGTCATCCCTCAGCTCACTCCTTCTTATGTTTGGGGACAGAGGAAACCTTGTTGTGCCTGCTGAGGGTGGGTTTACACTATCAGCTGCATCCATGGTCTCTATCACCTACATGGTGGCTCGACCGTCTGTTCTTTAACCTGTGACAAAACAGACTGTGCCTTGTCATTGTCAAAGGTCCCCTGTGGCTGGATGGCTCAGGAGCAATGTGGGCTATGACCTCTACATGTGCCAAGTGCACAGATCAGTCACAGGAAGGCCACTGGGAACACTGGATTGGGAGGGACACTGGGCAGGAGAACATCCAGACCCTCTGAGAGTGGAGGGAGTTCCCCAAGCCATGAAGTGTCCACACAGCTCACGTGATGGCCCTGAGCAGTGCCTATCATTGCACAGAAAGCCTCAGCTAGAGAGGAGACTGTGCAGCCGCTGCTGAATAGGAGCACTCCTGACACACCTCACCTGGAGGGAAATGAGGGGTGTCCAAGGGGAGGAGGCTTCTCTAGGACCCCCATAGCTGGTGCTCTCAGGAGGAGCTGCTTGGTGAGGAGGCTCAGGACTGGGGTCAAGTTCCCTCCTCCTCTGCACCTGCTCCTTGGCTGACCTGAGCTCCTGTGTGCTGAGCGCCCCCTGCTGGCCCTGGGCACCCTGCAGGAGGTTTGTGTCTGGGCTCACACTGAGGTCCCCTCACTGTGTCTCTGGCACAGTAATAGGTGGCCGTGTCCTCAGAGGTCAGGGAGCTCAGCTGCAGGGAGAACTGGTTCTTGGACGTGTCTCTGGAGATGGACACTTGGCTCTTGAGGGATGGACTGTAGTAAGTGTTACCAATATAACATATGTCCCCTATCCACTCCAGCCCCTTCCCTGGGGGCTGATGGATCCAGTTCCAGCAGTAACCACTGGTGATGGAGTAACCAGAGACAGCACAGGTGAGGGACAGGGTCTGCGAGGGCTTCACCAGGCCAGGTCCTGACTCCTGCAGCTGCACCTGGCACAGGACACCTGGGGACAAGGACAGTCACATCCTGTCAGTCACCAGCAGTCAAAAGCTCCCCATGGATCCACATTGACACTGGGGACACTCACCTTGGGGAGCTGTGACCAGGCACAGGACAAGACCCAGCAGCCTCATCTTCTAGACCACACCTGCCTTCCCAGAGACCTCAGCCCTGTCTGAGCAGAGAGCTGGGAGCTCCCACAGCCCAGAGGGCATTTGAACCCATAGCAGGGTGAGGGATTTGCATGTGGGTGAGGCTCTTCTGATATCTGGAGAGGCTGAGGTCAGGCTGCCCAGGTCCTCTGTGGTCCTGAGATGTGTCCCTGTCTTGAACCCAGGTGGAGCTTTACCTGTGAGAGGAGAGCAGGTGGTTTCAGGGGTGCTGGAAGGCTGTCAGAGGGGGAGCCCACCCTCCTGAGCCCAGCCCCTTCCTCAGGACCCTGCTCCCTTCCTGGTGCCCAGTCTCACTCACCACACCCTCTCAGGCTCTGCGTGCTGAGTGCTCAGTTCTGAGTCCAGCACACTGCTTTCTCTCCCACTGTCTGCTACTGTGACATGGTCCTTCTGCTCTTGGACAACATGTGACACTGTCATGTTGGTTGTGTGACATAGTTGTAACCTTCCTCATCTTCTAATGTCCTGTAATCCAGGACACATCAGCAGCAGCAGGGAGACTGGATGAAACGTGCAATGGAGAGCATTTGGGAAGAGGAAGAGACAGACTGTCTATGTGGCTGTCCCCAGAGGAGCTGTGCAACTGACATGTGACTCCCTCTCTATGTCCAGCTCCCTCTTCATCTGCAGAGGCTTCCCTGGATTCCAAGGGATCAGCTCAGCGTATGTCCCAGGTGAGGGAGCCATTAGTGAGGGAAGCCACCCTTGATGAACCTCCTTAAGTCCTCATGCTCCAGGTTTGAACAGTTATTGCATTCAGTCGGGCAGGGTAGTGCCAGTTCCAGTAACTTGGGTGCTCCCCCAGCTGGGATACCAGGGCGTGGCTCCAGGAGTAGGTGTCACCTGCTGGGGTTGAGTCACACTCACCTGTTCCTTTGTAATCCTGCCCCTTCTGCCTTTTTCAGATAGAAAATTCTAAGAAACAGCATCACCCAAAATAAAAGCCCACTTCTGAACATGCCCCCTCTCTCCTGTCAGCCTCTCTGACCTTCTTGTGTCCCCCTTTTGGGGACCCTGAGGCTGGGATATGGAGAAAGCCATCATGAAGCTTATGAAAGGTATTCTGTGTCTGTGTGGTACTTTGTGTCACCCCAAATTCACACAGTGACTTCAGTTCAGCTGCCTGTGCTGGACGGGGGTGGCAGTGTAGAGCAGCCCAGGCCCAGGATGCTGCTGTCTGAACCATCAGCAGTGACAGCCACCTGCCTGTCAGGTTCCAGCCCCATCCTCCCCACACGTCTCACTGGGAAATGTGTCTGCAGACCCAGAGGCCAGCCATGCTCTGGTCCCAGGAGCAGTGCCCATTCTCCATCATCATCAGGAGGGAGGGTGGAGGGAAAGATGGGCGGCACAGCTGAGCTGTCAAAATGCTGCCAACAAAACGTAGGGTCCCTCTCAGCAGTGGGCTTAGGAGAAGACCCTGCTCTTTGGAGTAAGGGAACGTCTGACCAGCCGCAGTGCCCAGTCCTTGCCTTATCTCTGCACATCTCCATGGTACCTGTGGGGTCCTTTCCTGAGCAGCATGAGCCATGCTCCTGGTGCCCAGCCCGTTCCTGGGCAGAGCTCAGTGTGCTGCCTGAGGAGGTTCCTCCTGCAGGTGGGCACCCACCTGGGGCCTGTCCTCTCCTGAGCCCCAGGTGCAGCCCTCTGCTGGCTCTCCTGTGAGGTCAGGGTCCATCAAGGGAAACCAGTCCTCATGTGCTCAGTGCAGAGACTGAGCCAGGCCCCGAGGTGCTGTGTCTGTTCCCCTCATCAGTTCCCGCAGCGCCCCACAACCCAGGCACCACCTCAGTGCTTCCTGATGGTATTACTAGGACACCGTGAGTCATGACCTTAAGGGGCATGTCAGAATCCTTAAGTCCTTTCTCAGCAGTAGGAGGGACACCTTCCCACCAGGCCTGGAGAAGCAGGGTCAGTAACAGACCTCAGCCCAGCAGACATTGACCTCAGGGGAGCTGGGCTGTGCTTACCAGGGAAAGCCCAGGGTCCCTGGCTGGAGAGGTCCTGCAACCCCCATGCAGTACTTGACCTTCCCAGCAGAGGTGCCAGAGCTGGGAGGGGCTGGAGTTGAAGGGACTCAATGGGCAGGCATGGACACCCTCCAGGGCACCTCTGCTCACACACTTCACTTCAGAATCCCCTCCACTCTCCCCTTCTTATTATTTCTCCTGCACAGGAGGACGTGCTTTTGAGTGTCCAAGACTGGACAGCCACTTAGGTGCACTCTTCACTGGGTCCTCGGAGCCCAGCCCCAGCCCCTTTCTGGGAGTAGGAGAGACACTGGGTCCTGGCTGGAGGTCTATGTGTGGATAAGATCAACGGGCACTTCCATCTGAATGGACAGACTGACCTGTGGGAGACAGAGTGTGATGGACGGGGCTGGGGAGTGCATCTCAGGAGGATTGGAGGGAGTGATATCCCAGCACTCTGCCCCAAAGCACAGCACAGGGACAGGGACTCCCAGAAGGAGGGGGTTCAAGCCACATCTCTACACACGACACAGGTGCAGGTGGTGGTCAGTTGTCCTTGCAGACCCACAGTCTCACCCTGGTGCAGCTGAGCCACTGTGAAGGAGAAAGGCATTTCCCCACCCTCCAGGACAGGTGGTCAGAGAAGGGGATCCAGCTGTGTGTGGACCAACTCAGAAGCTGAGTGGCACTAAATAGAGAAGATAAATAAATAAATACCAGAAAACTAGGAGAGAAGAGGGAGGGGCGGGGGAGGGGAGGGTGGAGGAAGGAGGAAGCCCTGGGGAAAGAGTGCAGCCACCATGTCCCACCTGCTGTGACCATGCCAGAGGAGCCCCACTGTCCTGTGTGACCATTGGCACTGGGAGTCCTCAGGAAGAGACCCAGGGAGTGTCAAGAAAAACCAATGTATCACAACAGCAGTGGGAGTGTGTGGGGCTGGGTTGAGGCCCAGTGCAGAGCCCTTGTGGGAGGCCTGGTCTGATCCTCAGCACCTGGGAAACAAACCAGTAAAATAAGGCATTGTGCCCACCTACAGCTAAAAGTGTATTAAAATGAAAAGTAAAACACCAGTGTGCTGACTGATGGTGTCAGTGCTGAAATCAAAGGGGACTCGTGGTTTCATGTCTTCCCACAGCTGCTGTGTTCTTAGGACCATCTGGGATGTAAACATTGCCACTGCTCATCCTCACCCAGACTGGAGCAGACCCTCAGGACAGGGTGGGCACTGATGTGAGCAGGGACAGAGCCCAGGTGTCCCTGTCTGTCACCCTGCAATGCAGCCACAGGGGCTGGAAACCCAGGCAGGCTCCACGCTGCCTCTCCCCAGCAGCCAGGTGTCCTGGGGCTTCTCAGGCTCAGGGTCAGCTCATAGTGAGATGGGGTCCGTGTGGTCCTGGGCACAGTGTGTCTTCAGGGTTCTGAGGCCAGTGGCTGAGCTGACCTGAATAGCAGACCATCCTTCCAACTGGGTCCTTGCCCAGGGTGCCCCTTTCTCTTGAAGACCTTTCTTAGGTCACCCCTGTCCACAGACCATGCACAGCTGCATGAGGAGTTGGTGTGTACACCATATGGAGCCCTGGGTTTGAGGTGTGGTGTCACAGAGCCTCATCATGAGGGATAGACAGCTCACACACACCGAGGTTCACTCTGAATACACACATTTCTGTACATTTCAATAAAGTTTATGGTTTTCTGTCACCCTTTTTCTGTGTAGTCCATATATATTCATGTCAGGTAATTCCTTGCTGTGGGAGCTGTCCTGTGATGGTTGGAGGTATGGCAGCCTCATTGGTCAATAAAAACTAGAAGCCAGGAAAATCCCTACTTCACATGTGAAAACAACTCCCTCCAGACATTGGAAATGGGTGGAAAGTTCTGGCAGTAGGTGGGCTCCAGTGAGAACTGTGTTCTGTGACCTGATCCAGCACAGGAAGGTCACTGGGTGGAGGGGGAAAGGGAAGGAATCATGGGAAGGGGACTGGGAATCACCTGAACAGGCAGGGAGTGAGACATGGCGTCAGAAGTGTGTAAAGTTCAGCAGGTGTGGGGAGCTCACCTGTAGCCCCAGGGACACTTTGGGCTGAGGGAGGAGAATCATAACTTCAAGGTCAGCCTGGGCATCTTTGGGAGAACCTGTCTCCAAATAAGACACATAAAACCTAGAATGGACGTCAAGGGTGGAGCACCCTGGATTCAATCCCCAATAAGGAAATGAAAGATCCATACAGTTCACTTTAAAGGTGCTGTTCAGGAAATGTCCCTGAAAACTCATCTCCATCTGCAAAATTGCCTGGTCTGTGCTGAGAGAATTCCAGACAAGCAAGACCTAGAGAAGAATCACCTCACAGAGGGTCTGGCAGAGGAGGGACCTTGAGTATCTGCAGGCAAGGTGGAGTCAGGAGGTGCTGGTGGGCAGGGACCTCAGGGCCTGAGCTGAGCTGCTCCCTCCTCCCTCTGCACCTGCTCCTGAGTGACCTGAGCTCCTGTGTGCTGAGCGCCCCCTGCTGGACCTGGCCACCCTGCAGGAGGTTTGTGTCTGGGCTCACACTGAGGTCCCCTCACTGTGTCTCTAGTACAGTAATAGGTGGCCGTGTCCTCAGTTCTCAGATTGCCCATTTGCAGGTAAAGGGTGTTCTTGGAGTTGTCTCTGGAGATGGTGAATCAGCCCTTCACCAGTGCATGCTATAGTCACTGAAGGTGAATCCAGAGGCTACACAGGAGAGTCGCAGGGAACCCCCAGGCTGCACCAGGCCTCCCCCAGACTCCACCAGCTGCACCTCACACTGGACACCTGCAAACACAGAGGCAGCCTGGTCAGGACACTGGCACTCATCCACTCTCCCTCTCACTCCTGTCCACCCACACACTAAGGATCTCTGGTTCTCCATTCATTACCTTTGAAAACAGCCACCAGGAAAACCCAGCTGAGCACACTCTCCATGGTGAGCAGCTGTGTTCAGTCCTGGTCACTGAGTGGGCTGAGCTGGGAGTCCAGGGCTGGGCTCCTGTGCAGAGCTGCAGGGTCAGGTGGGCTGGTTTTCATGAGCAGAGGGAGGCCCTATTTGCATGTCCTCCTGCTCTATAGCAGCTCTGGGTAGAAGCCCAGGTAGAGCAGCTCTGAGACCAGGTGGGAGTGTCATGGGTTAGAATGGTGTAGATAGTAGGGTTAAGAGAATATGATTACTTTTGCCAATTTTTCTGCTTGGCATTTATCACCCATTAATTTCATTAACACATGTACAAAATCATGATCCAGGACAGTGTTAACCCCATGGTACAAATGTAAAATCTCACACAGCAGCATGAGTGGTGGTCACTGTGTCCAACAGCAAGTATCTGGCAAAAGTTAGAGGAGTATTTGTGCTTTGCTCTCACCTTGGACATGACTGCCCCACAGACCTTCCTCCAACTCCCAGGCAGACACTCCTGGTGACAACCTCAGAGCCGCATTTTGTGCATGATCCCACACTTGGTCGGAGCTGGGCTCACTCAGGCTGGAGCAGACTGTGGGCTGGACAATCTCAAGGGCACAGGTGAGGCCCTGGCGTGTGACCTCCTGACTGATGTCAGGCCATGTGCAGGACAGGGAGGGGCAGAGAGGGGCAGTGCAGGCAGAGCTGGGGCTTTGCACTTTGGCCAGGAGAGCAGCACACTTGTGGTGCTGCCCAGGAGCTGTGGCCAGGAGGGGGAGGCCAGCAGCTCCACTGGGAGCAGCCCAGGGCTTTGCACCCAGAGGATGGAGGGTGTTTCAGGATCCCAGGGATCAACAAGGCCCAGCTTCCCCAGCTCAGAGGCAGAGATGAAGATCTGAAAGACCCTCCAGGGCAGGGCCTGTGGGAGAGAGCTCTGGGCTCCTGACCCAGGACTGCCCAGGGCATGGTTTCCCCTGTTCAGCCAGCAAGGGGCCCAGAGGTTCCCAGCCCTGGTTCAAGGGAGGCCAGGACCTGCTCCCTGCTGAGGGTGACCTTGTCCTCAGCCACACCATGCTGGCTTTGCAGGTGGCAGACTGTGAGAGCTACAGGGTCAGGGAGGGTTACATGAATACTTGAATGGAAGGGCTGGGAGGTCAGATGGGGGTCAGGGGTCAGAGTCCCTGCTGGCAGCCCTGGCAGGTGATGATGGGGCTGTGAGATGGAGCCAGGGCTGCTAAGGAGACCCCAGGATCAGAGGAGTCAGCAGTGAGCAGCACTTGCCCAGGAAGCTGCAGACCAAGCTCACTAAGAGGGAGTCCAGAGGGTATGTCCATCTGGGCTATGTGGTGGGATTGCTGAGAGCCCTCCATAAAGCTTGGGAGAATGAAAGCCCTCTTTGATCTTAAGGCCCACTGTAGGGTTTTCCTGAATCGTTTTTTCTTTGCACTGGACTCCTGGGTTCTGCTAATGTATTTGTGCCTTGATGAATTTGAGGATGAAGACTGAATGTGTCTGCATTATGAGAAGGACATGAGAGTTTTATTTCCAGGGATAGAATGATTAGGTGTGCATTATTGTCCTGCAGAATTACATGTGATAAGGTTGTTCTGCAGCTCCTTGGGCTGTGGGGGAGTGAGGACCCCTTAGGACTTGGGGATTCATGGAATTTATGCCAATCACTGTGGACATGCCCTGCAAGGGGACTGTCAGACCCCATCTCTTCTTCCCTCCCTTTGGAGTCCTTCAAACTAGGTGAGTGGCTGTCCCACAGTGGGCTCTCTGCATTGCCCCTGGCACACCCAGGAAAGGTGTGAATGCAGTGGACTCCTCTCTTCATGGACTAGAGCACTGGAATTCAGGAGCCAAAGGAAAGCTCCTCTTCATGTGTTGATGGCCTCAGGCACTTGCCACAGGGGTGCACAGCTGAGGAGCCCAATTTAGGTTACAGTGCTAGGAGAAAAGGCCAGGCCTGAAGGACAGCCTCTTCCTGGCCTCATTCTCCTGTCCATGTAAGAAGCTGGCCTCACAGGGGCAGACCTGGACAGTGGCTGTGGTGGTGAGCAAGGTCAGGAGAGGGAGGGGCTGAGACAAGAGGCACATGGCCATGGCTGACACAGGAGCACTTGCCTGTCCTCACCCAGAGGGTGGCTGTGGGCAGCACGCTCACCCTGCAGACCCAGCAGAGCCAGCAGAAGGGATCAGGAAGGCTCTCCTCCCAGGAGGGAGAGTGTGGGGTGATGGGTGGACCACGTGTCCTGAGCTGACCACAGGCCATGCTCAGGCACCTGGACCTCTGCTCCTGTCTCCCCACGATGTGCAGCTGGTTTTTACAATCTAAAATGACAGGATTAGCCTCTTAATACAAACACTCCTCTGGATGTTTCTTGACCTTCTCCTGGACCAGAGCGCCCCTTGATGGCCCTGAGGTGGCAGCTGCTCCTGAGGTTTCTACTGGTCTGGAGCCCCCTGGTGGTCCTGAGCCTCCAGCTGGACCTGAGCTCCCCCTCCTTGTCCTGAACTCCCAAAGTGTCCTGCTGATTCTGAGATTCCCTGCTGCTCCTCAGCGCCCCCTGCTGGTCCTCAGCTCCCTGCTGGTCCTCAGTGCCCCTGCTGGTCCTCAGCTCCCCCTGCTGGTCCTCAGCGCCCCCTGCTGGTCCTCAGCTCCCTGCTGGTCCTCAGTGCCCCTGCTGGTCCTCAGCGCCCCCTGCTGGTCCTCAGCTCCCTGCTGGTCCTCAGTACCCCCTGCTGGTCCTCAGCTTCCTGCTGGTCCTCAGTGCCCCCTGCAGGCAGGTGAGTGACTGCTCACACTGAGTTCCCTCACTGGGTGTCTCCCCCTGGAATACACAGCCATATCCTCAGGTTTCATCGTATTGAGTGCTAATGAAACCTGGCTCTTGGAAGTGTCCCTGGTATGCTGACTGTATACCAGTGCAGGGTCCCAACCCCAGCAGCTGCAATTGGCAAAGACACCTAAGTAAAAGCACCACACAAAGGGGGTGTTCCCTGCAGGAATGCACAACCATGCACAGGGAGGACACAGGGGATGGCCTCCTGAGGGCCTTTGCTCTGCTCTGACAGCATAAGCTCAGGACCATCAGGGAGCACTGATGACCAGTAAGGGACTCAAGGCCAGGTTAATGGTGTGTGCTTCAGCCAACATCCATCCTTCTAACCCACTCCAGGCCGTTCCCTGGAGCCTGGCAGGTCCAGCTCACACATAGATGTGTAATGAGGATCCAGAGACAGCACAGGTGAGGGGCACATGTGCAACGCCTTTACTCAGCCAGGTCCTGTCTCCAGGATTTCCATCTGGGACAGGACACCTGGGGACAAGGAGCATCGCCTTGTGTGAATCACAACAGAAACTGCATATCCACATTGCTCTTCTGAAACTCCTGGACATTCACACAGGGGGTGGCCTCCTGTCCATCCTAGAGAGAATGTCTGCCTTGTGATTCTAAGAACACTGGGTAGGACCCTAAAGGACTCCTTCCTGCTTCCTGCTGGTCCTCCTCCTGCCAGCCATCCAGGAATGGGGAGGCCCAGTGGTCAGGGGTGGCAGCATCACACAGAGGGGGTGTTCCCTGCAGGAGTGCACAGCCCTGGAGAGGAAGGACACAGGGGGTGGCCTCATGAGGGCCTTTTCTATGCTCTGTCAGCCACAGAAAGGTTCTGGATTGGTGGGGTGGTGTGCCTCTGTGGCTCTTGTAGGTGCTGGGGACAGCATGGTCAAGACACAGCTCACATCCTTGTTCCCGAGGGTCAGTGGGGTCAGTGTACTCTGCAGCACTCCTGCTTAAACCCCTCAGGATGAAGCTGCTCACCCCCTGGGATCCCTGAGATTTTCAAGTTCTCAGAGGACGTCTGAGGCCTCCTGTGTCTGTGCCTGCACAGCTGCTCCACGGGGACTCTGGGCCTGGGGTCACCTCCTACCTTTCTCTCCCCCAGCCTCTCCCCCTCTCTCCCAGAGCACTTAACACAACAGGAGTTACTTAATGTCCTCATCTGGTCAGTCAGGGGTAGGGTGGAAATCAGGGATTTTAGACTCTTCTAAGAGTGACCAGGGTAGAGCTGGCTCTGCTGAGGTGGCATGGGCAGGAGGGCAGCACTGAGCAGGACTTTGTGCCCACACAGAGACCAGATGTCTGTGGTGGCTGCTGTGACAGCACCAGCAGGGAGAGAGTCTGAGGTCATCAGCTGTGGTGCAGGACCTGGCCTGGGCTCCTGAGGCTGCAGAACCCCCTGTGGATGGTGAAGGGCTGTTGGCACAGAGCAGAGGCTGTGGAGGCTCCATCTGGGCAGAGGTACCCACAGGAGGAGAGCTAAGTGGGAACCCTCAGCACCCCATGCTGTGCCCTGGGGAGCAACACTTAAAAGAGGAGGACGGGGTCCCAGCCTTGAGCAGCTGCAGAACCACCTGTGGGAGAGGCCTGGAGAGCAGGGAGGTGGGAAGGACGTTCAGCCAGCTCAAGTGTGTACAGGGACCAGGGGACTCACCAGAGGGCAGCCTCCAGGGAGCACTGAGAGTGCAGCGGCCTCTCACAGGGGAAAGGCCCCAGGAATGGAGAGCATGTGGGCAGCTGCTCACCATCAGTCCAGCCTTTCACACTCCAGATAGATCCCACTGGACAGGACACCCAGGTGCAGTGAATGTGGACAGTCTTCAGCAGAAATGCCAATCACATTGCACACCTAAGCGTTCACACTGGAGACCAGCCTTTCCCATGCAGTGAATGTGGGGAGGGTTTCAGGCAAATCCCACACCTGCTCAGCACCACAGGCTCCATGGTGGAGAGAGGCCTGTGAGTGCAGTGATGTGGGAAACCCCTCAGCCAGCACTGACCTTCATCCAGCAGCAGAGTCCACATGAGAGAAACGTCCAGGTGCTTCATATCTGGGAAGTCCTTCACCACACCCACCACCTTTTCACAACCTGGAGAGGACGGGAGCTCACAGGCATTGAGAGAGCAGTGAGTGTGGAGAAGACTCTAACCACTGCTCTGCTCTGACTCAGCTGCACAAACGTCACAGCCTGAACAGGCCCTGGGAGGTCAGTGAGTGGACAGAGGCCTCAGCCAGTGGGGCCCCCTGTTCCACACCAGGACGTTCATGCTGCAGAGAGGCCCTAGGTGGGACCTGACTCAACTGTCAAATTCTGAGTCACCTTCATGGTGGAGCCAGGACTGGCCCTCAGTCCTGCACACGGCACAGAGACCACAGGGAGGAACTGCTGCTGCCCTCCTCCTCCCAAGAAGGTGGCCCTGTGCCTGGGCTCCAGGAGGGGAAGCCCATGTCCTGGGACACACTAGGGACATCTCCATCCAGGGGAGCTGGAGTCAGGCAGGAGCCCAGTGGTCATGGTTAAGGAAGACTGACTCTTGCTCTTCACACTGAATGTAAGATTTCCCTAAATAAGTATTTCATTTGCTACAAAATTTTTTTCTTCTACGAAATTATAACACATAATCAGGACTGAAAATCAGTGATTAATGCAAAATTAAGTGATAATTAAAGTAAAGCAGAAAACCCATCTGGGGTTGGGAAGGGGGACAGGAGACTTAGCATGGACAGTCCCTCCCTGCAGGTGATGGCCACTGTTGGAGGTCAGGACTGCTGGGAACTTAAGGAGCCTCTCCAACCTTAGCCAGCAGAGCAGGCACAAGAACACCCAGAGCCAAGCTTGACCCTGGCCACACTGGACAGCACCTGGGGATGCTGAGGGATGCTCAGGTCTGTGTGGTCCTGCCAGCCCTGCTGGGTGGTATGGGCCCACCTACTGCACTGGTGTGGTCCAGGGCTCCTGGGCTTGCTGTGTGGACAAAGAGAAGACCTGTGTCCTCCACTTGTCCATCTCGGGATGCCCTGCCCACTTACCAGGACCACCTTGCACAGTGGGTCTGAGGTGTGGTCATATGAGGGCCCCTCCTGCAGGAGTGCACAGTGAGTGTGTCCAGGCTGGGCTGCTGAGGTCCATCCTGCTCCCCAGCACAAGGGACCTCTTGTGGGGGTCCCTGGAGCATGTCTGGATGGCCTGAGGTCTCAGGTGACAGTGGAGGAGACGCCCTAACTAATGGAGACAGACCTCACATGTGGAGTCTGATGGGTGCCCGTCACCATGTCAGAACTACTCCTCTGTTCCTCCCATCTCTGGAGATCCCAGGAGGGAGGAGGGTTTTTCAGACATTATGCTGAATGAGTCTCCTCTTGGGTTTGTCTGATGCTGTCCTCATGGCGAGACTGAGGTGTGGGAGGGACTTCACAAGAGCCTCATTTCCATCTCATCAGGGAACATTCTAGAATGCCCTTCACTGAGGAGTTTTGCCCCATCCTCTTCATCACCTGCTATGGAGGGGTGTGGCAGGACTCTGCACCTCTTGCTACTCTGCTCCCCTCTCCATGGAGCTCCCGAGAAGGAGGTTCCTAAGTGCAGGACCCATCAAGGGAGGGCAGTCAAGTGAAGTCTGTGGAAACTGCTTGTCATTCTCCTGGGCTGCAGAGGGGTGTCCACCCTGGTATTTGCTAAATTGTGTATTTAGGTCAGGGTGAGCTCCAGAGAGCTCATTTGTATCTTGGTGAAAATACTTGCTGTGTTCTGCACGTTGTGGTCAATTTTCAAGCTTTATTCTGTGGTCCACCTTCCAGCAAGTTCTGCCATCTCTTCATGTGTCCCTGCCCTGGACAGGGTGCTGAGTCAACCAGGCCAGATTACAATCTCCAGGAAGGTGACTGAGTATTGGTTATCCTGTGTGCGCATGGCATCCCATGACCACAGAATGGCAGTGATCAAGAATACATGTAATAACAGGTGCTGGAGGAAACCTGGGGAGAGGACCCTCACACCTTGTTGGTGGGACAGCAGATGAGAACCACCCTGAGGAGAGCAGGTGGACACCCCTCAGAACAACAGGGAGGAAGCCACAGTGGGACCCAGCTCTCCTGCTGCTTGGGTTTACCCCCAAAGACCCAAGACAGCACAGTGCAGGGACATGGCCACTGCAGGGTTTATACAGTGCAATTCCCAAGACCAGGTTATGCAACCAGCCCAGGAGCCCTTCACTAGTGGATGGATAAAGGAAATGTGGGTCATGTACCAACACTGCAGCTCTGCTCAGCCAATAGGAGGAGTGAGACGATGGTGAGTGGATGGAGCTGGAGGACATTAGGGAAGAGGAATAAGAGAGCCTCAGGGAGTCATGTGAGTGTTGGCTGTCCTCTGTGGGAGCTGCCACAAATAAGGGAGATAAAGGAAGGGGAACCCCAAGAGCATAGAAGAGGTGAGTGGGGATCAGGAGGTGACTAAGGGTGAGGGAGGAGGGACAGAAGAAGGGAGGGGCCAGGAGTGAGCTGAGCAGATATTATTGGCCAATTCTGCACACGTGGTAGTCCTGCAATTGTGGGAGTGAACCAATGTGAGTTTCATACACACACACACACACACACACACACACACACACAAATAGTGTAAAATTTAATGAAAATTAGAAACTCATGGAAGAAAGATCAGTTAAATAATGGGAAGTAGGAGGAAAATTTAAAAGGAGATGTTGTGAGAGCAACAGAGATTTTATAGACAATGAATATATGTGACTATGTCAAAATGAAAACCTATAATAAATATATGTAAGATGCACTATTTCAAAAGAAAAAGAACATCACAAAAACAGAGTGATTATCTTCAGACACATCAGAGATAAGTAGAGACCACAAGGCCACAGAAAACCCCTGGGAAGCTGGTACATGGACAGGCCTCCAGATGGAGGAAACCTGCCCCAACTCACATCTGCAGCTGCTTCTGGAATGACCTGACTCCTGTGTGCTGAGCACCCCCTGCTGGCCCTGGGTGAGCAGCAGAGAGGTTTGTGTCTGGGCTCACACTGAGGTCCCCTCACTGTGTCTCTGGCACAGTAATAGGTGGCCGTGTCCTCAGAGGTCAGGGAGCTCAGCTGCAGGGAGAACTGGTTCTTGGACGTGTCTCTGGAGATGGACACTCGGCTCTTGAGGGATGGACTGTAGTAAGTGTTACCACTATAACATATGTCCCCTATCCACTCCAGCCCCTTCCCTGGGGGCTGATGGATCCAGTTCCAGCAGTAACCACTGGTGATGGAGTAACCAGAGACAGCACAGGTGAGGGACAGGGTCTGCGAGGGCTTCACCAGGCCAGGTCCTGACTCCTGCAGCTGCACCTGGCACAGGACACCTGGGGACAAGGACAGTCACATCCTGTCAGTCACCAGCAGTCAAAATCTCCCCATGGATCCACATTGACACTGGGGACACTCACCTTGGGGAGCTGTGACCAGGCACAGGACAAGACCCAGCAGCCTCATCTTCTAGACCACACCTGCCTTCCCAGAGACTTCTGCCCTGTCTTAGAGAGACCTGGGAGCTCCCACAGCCCAGAGGGCATTTGAACCCAGAGCAGGGTGAGGGATTTGCATGTGGGTGAGGCCCTTCTGATATCTGGAGAGGCTGAGGTCAGGCTGCCCAGGTCCTCTGTGCTCCTGAGATGTGTCCCTGTCTAGAACCCAGGTGGAGCTTTACCTGTGAGAGGAGAGCAGGTGGTTTCAGGGGTGCAGGAAGGCTGTCAGAGGGGGAGCCCACCCTCCTGATCCCAGCCCTGCCTCCTCCAAGCCCTTCCTCCCTGCTCCTGGGAGGGTCTCAGAGTGGCAGGAATGTGCCCAGCATGCAAGAGGCCCAGGTTCACCTCCCAGCCCTGAAGGAGAAGCCCTCAGTGATGACTGAACAGAGCCCAGGGCTGAGGATGGGGTTCCCCACATCCAGGAGAAGAGCCCCCCTTTGTTCTCAGGACTAGTTCTTCTCTTTCATCTCTGTGAGATTTGGGGGCTACAGACTGAGCAGGAGAGGAGGGAGCAGGGTCTCAGGAGGGGAGGGGCTTCCTGCTGTGTGCCCACTGCCCTCCCCACCCTGTGCCCTGCTTGTCCTCCTGACTGTCCAGCCAATGCCTGTGGACAGCAGTGGGTGGGAATCTGCCCTGAGCTCCTCCCCTCACCTGTCCTGCCCTCTGGTCTCCACCAGGAGAGGACAGGATGGAGGTGCTGGGCCAGGGGAGAGTCCTGGGAGCAGAAGCAGCCCTCAGCTGTAGCTTGAGGCTAAGGACCACTGAGTTCACTCAAGCAGCACAGCTTGGCATCAGACAGAGCAGGCATGCAGGGAAGTCTGGGGTGAGGGAGGGAGCCCCAGTCCCCTTCCCTGTGCAGCATCCCTGCAGTGAGACCTGCCTTGCCCACAGCCCAGCATTTTGAGAAAACAGTGGACACTGTCTTTAGTGAGGTGTGGTCACTGAGAGGACAGGTGCAGTTGCTGATCTCTTGATGAGGATTCAGGAATTTGTCTCCTGCCTAACTGAGTGAACATGACATATTAATAAGACATATAGGCTCCTCTCCCTATTCACTCTGGTGTTAATTATAAATTCACTGAAAACACTGACCCCTGGTCCTGGGTGACTCAGGTAAGACCTTGCTCATCTCCTTAATTTTACCACCTAAATTCATGAGTGCCATCTGGTGAAGTTTCCATGTCCTGGAAAATCTTCTAACTTAAAAAGCTATTCTTCCAGGCATACCAAAGGTGAGACATCTTCAGATGATCTTAGCGCCTGACCTGGGGAATTTGGAGTCTTCTTTATGATTCTCATTCCCACTTCACCTGTGCAATGTGTAAGACGGTAGACTCCATCCTGCCAGGGCTTCATATGGCCCTGCTTGAGGTAACATTTCCATCCAGTCTCACTTAGGCTGAGCTCCGCATTTCGGTTAGGATCAAGGTTCATGGATTCAATGTCTTGACTCTCATTTCTCTTCCATGAGTTCTGCAGCCAGGACTCATGTTGCTTTGGAACTTTTCTGAGTGGCCTCCTTTTCAGCTCAGATGATTCTACTCTAGTTTGTGAACATTGAGAGTGCTGACTAATTAAGACAGGATCCATTGCCAAGATCACTGTGAGTTATAGCTGAAGAAAAATTTCTTGTAACTCACTTGCTTTCTGTCAGCTTATTTCATCCTTCTTGCCCCTGGGAAATTCTTTATGATGAATGCAAATAACCAAATCAAAATTCACAGACATTGCAGGGAATGTGGCCCTCCAATGTGGTCAGAAGAAATGTTGTTCTTAACAGAAGGCAGTAAAACAGGATACAGTGAAGGATCCTCCTGGGATTTGGGTGTGGGTGGGAAATGCTTTCTCAGGCAGCTCATGTTATGGAAAACTGCAAAACTACAAGAGCTTCAAATGTGAGTTTGACCTGCCTCCTAGGGCTGAACAAGTCTGACTTGGCCTCCAAAGCTGAAACACTCTTGCTTTAGAAGTCTGGAGCAAGGCAAGCCTCATGTTCTCATGTTCCTATGATGCTGCTTCAAATCTTCAGGTGTCCCTCTTCCTCTGTGTGCACAGCAAATAAGGAGAAGGAATCACACAATATTTAAAATTATTTATCCTTACTGGTATAGTTATCAAGGCTGAGAATTTAATGTTGAAATTCATGAATATGTTGAACCTCACAAGTACATGGGCCCAGAGTAGGAAAACAGAATATTATTTACTGATAATAGCATTTAACAATTAAGAGCTGCAATCAGACAGAGAAATTGGGATTTGTATAATTAGACAAAATATTTTAATACAAACACTCCTCTGGACATTTCTTTACCTTATCCTGGGGCAGAGCTACCCTTGATAGCCCTGAGCTCCCCCTCCTTGTCCTGAGATCCCTGAGTCCCCTGAGTCCCCTGCTGATTCTGAGATCCCCCTGCTGGTCCTCAGATCCTTGCTGGTTCTCAGCTCCACCTGGTGGTCCTTAGATCCCCATGGTGGTCTTGAGCTTCCCCTGCAGGCAGGTGAGTAACTGGGCTCACACTGAGTTCCCTCACTGGGTGTCTCCCACTGGAATACACAGCCATATCCTCAGGTTTTAAGCTGTTGAGTTCTAATGATAACTGGCTCTTGGAAATGTCCCTGGTGATGTTGACTCTCAACAGTATTGATTTCAACCCCTGCAGGTGCAATTGGGAAGGACATCTGGGGAAAAGAACCAGCATATGCTCAGGTCCATCAGGGAGTCCTCAGGACCAGCAGGGGGTTCAGGAACAGGTGTGTAGTGGCATCTGCTTCCACCACTAAATGTTCTTCTAGCATACTCCAGGCCCTTCCCAGGATCTTGGCAGATCCAACTCAGACCATAGGTGGGAAGTAAGAATCCAGTGATAGCACAGGTGAGGGACAGGGTGTGCAAGAGCTTCACCAGGCCAGGTCTCAACTCCTCGGCTGCACTTGGGACATGACACCTGGGTACAAGAAACATCACCTCTTGTTAATCACACTAGCACCTGCATAACCACAACCTTCTCATGAAATCCTTGTACATTCTCAAAGTGAGGTGTCACCAGGCAGAGGAGCAGCACCAGAACCTCCAGGCTGCAATGAAGAACTAATGAGAAGGAGACGGGGGCTGCTCAGCCAAGGCTCCGCTTTCAGCTTGAGATTAGGAGCTGCTTTGCATGAGGGAGGCCTAGGGTACACGTAGGGAGCAGACGGCAGTGCCGCCATCTTTCCCATGAAGAGTGTTTGCCTTATGCTGCTCAGAGGCACTGGGAGTGAATCTGGGGAGTTCTTTCCTGCTTCCTGCTGGTCCTCCTCCTGCCAGCCATCCAGAAATGGGGAGGCCCAGTGTTCAGGGATTGCTAGCATCACACCAATAGGGGGTGATTCCTGCAGGAGTGCACAGCCATGCAGAGGTGAGATGCAGCCACACAGGAAGGTTCTGGATGAGTGGTGTGGTGTGCTTGTGGGGCTCTTGCAGGTGCAAGGGCAGCATGGTCAAGGGTCAGCTCCCATCCTTGTTCCCCCAGGATCAGTGGGGTCACTGTATTCTGCAGCACTCCTGTTTAAACCCCTCGTGATGAAGCTGCTCATACCCCTGTGATGCCTGAGATTCTCAAGTTCTCAGAGGACATCTGGGACCTGCCTGTATCTGTGCCTGCACAGCTGCACCACAATGAGGACGCCGGGCCTGAAGGTCAGCCTCCGACATTTCTTCCAGTCTGTCCTTTTCTTATAGAGCACATAACAAAAAAGGAGATACTTAATGTCCTCATTTGTTTAGTCAGGGGTAGAGTTGAAAAATCATATATTTTAAAGACATTCTAAGAGTGACCAGAACAAGAGGGCAACACAGAAGAGGATTTTGTTCCCATGCAGAGACCGATGCCTCTGGTTGCTGCTGTGACATCACCAGTAGGAAGAGAGTCTGAGGTCATCAGCTGTGGGGCAGGAATTAAGCTTGATTCCTGAGGCTGCAGAACCCCCTGTGGATGGTGAAGGGCTCTTGGCACAGAGCAGAGGCTGTGGAGGATCCACCTGGGCAGAGGGCACCCTCAGGAGGAGAGCTAAGTGGGAACCCTCAGCACCCCATGCTGTGCCCTGGGGAGCAACACTTAAAAGAGGAGGACGGGGTTGCAGCCTTGAGCAGCTACAGAACCACCTGTGGGAGAGGCCTGGAGAGCAGGGAGGTGGGAAGGACGTTCAGCCAGCTCAAGTGTGTTCAGGGACCAGGGGACTCACCAGAGGGCAGCCTCCAGGGAGCACTGAAAGTGCAGGGGCCTCCCACAGGGAAAAGGCACTAGGAATGGAGTGAATGTGAGAAGATATTCACCATCAGTCCAGCCTTTTATACACCAGATAGATTCTACTGGAACAAGATATCAGGGGTGTAGTAAAAGTCAAAAATCTTTAGAAGAAATGCCAATCACATTGCACACCTAAGTGTCAACACTGGAGAAAAGCCTTTCACATGCAGTGAATGTGGAGATGGTTTTAGGCAAATTCCACACCTGCTCAGCATCACAGGCTCTGTGGTACAGAAAGTATTTTTGTGTGTGTGCAATGATTATGGTAAGGTCTATAGCCACAAGTCCAGTCTGATTTTTCATGTGTTCTCACCCTAATCAGGGTGGTGAGTCAGCCTGCCCACACTACAATCTCCAGGTACGTGACTGAAGAGTAACCAAACCCATTTTAACAGCCATGGTAAACTAGGTGCTAGAACGCTTCAGAAAAGTCCTGGCAAGCTGCAAACTGAAGGGCAGAGCACAGTAAGTGATCCACACCTGTCAGGTGGGCCTGGGATGCCTGGACAGATAAAGGAGCAGTTCACTGTGATTCCTTCCTCAGCACAACAGAGGCCAACATTACGAGGGTATCTGCACAAGCACAGAACCCATCACTGGATGAAATCCAGCACTTTCTAAGATCAAAGCAACATGAAAGTTACACAGGAGGAACACAACAGTGAAGTGAATCCTGCTTCAGTGGGAGACCGTGAGGGCTTTCCCCTGAGACTAGGGC